ATGGTTCCCAGGAAGCTATCAGAACTCTCTCTCTCTCTCTCTATGAGTTCTGGTACTCTCTCTACTATCTCTCTCTCTCTGAGTTCTGGTGTGGCACTGTGGATTAATGCGCTTGGACTGCAAAGTCGGTTTGAACCCCAAGGTCAGCAATTTAAGCTTAACAGCCACCCTTCAGAAATCCTATACAGGGTTTCTATAGGTCAGAACTGACTCAAAAGTACTTAAAACACAACGTGTATATAGTCCTGGTGTGACACTGTGGGTTACTGCGTTGGACTGAAAGGTCGGTGTGAACCACAGTGTAGGCATTTCAAGCTCACCAGCAACTTTCCAGAAACCCTATACAGGGTCGTTGTGAGTCGGAACCAATTCGACATGCCTTTAGTAGGTGAACCATCCGTTTCAACAAGAAAGTGAGCAATCTTTCTGGGACTTCACTTGGGGTGAGAGGAGCTGCTGGTCGTGCCCTGAAATGGGTACTGGCCATGGCAGCAGTGCCCACCCTGCCTACAGTTCTGGCTCGGGCCCTCTCTTCCCTCTCTCCCAACTCCTCTTCAAGCAGGAATGAAAAGCTCCTGAGGACTGTATCATGGATCTTAGCCACAGACTCCAGAAATTCACCATGCTGCTTTCAGCATGGGCTTGTGGACCCCACAGGAATTCATAGAGTTGACAGGCCCTGACCGTCACCTCGGGCCAGGCATTGTTCTCACGGGCATGGGACATACTCTTCTGAGCAGCAGGCATGCTGACTCGTGTCAGGGACAGCTGGGATCAGTGGGAGGAGGCCGGTGATGTGGGCCTCATGGAGGAAGAAGCTACAACAGCGTGTGCACTTAGGCCAGAGAGAACCTATCTTGAATGTAACCGAAGTATGCTTTGCATTTGTCCTTGGGGGCACTGGTCTCCGGACACAAGGTCAGCCCTGTCCCCTGAGACCTTGTTGAGGAATAAACTGCAGCTGGTAAGCCCTGTCTGGGGCTTGTTGGGGAGACAACAGGGGTGGGCAGTGGGGTCCTCTGTACTGGAGTCAAGGGGTCTTTGCAGTTCTCTTTCAGGGCCATCAGATCAATGGCTGGCAGGGCTTGGGTACCTTCCCTTTAGTACTCTGAACTTGACACCTCAAAGTCCCTAAGTCCCACAAGGCGGAAGGGAAACAGCAGTTCAGCCACTGTCCCTGGCAAGGTGTGAACCCCCAGTGCTGACAGCACACTGGGGCTTATTTTTTCCTGAGTTCTGTGTAAGCTTCAGTTTTCATTCAGGGTTGTCACTTGACTTGACATAGGGGCTGGGACTCCTTCCTTCTGCAGATCTGTGACTGTACCCAAAGACCAAAGATCTCCCCTCCCTTGGACCTGATATACAAAAGTGGGGGAACTTCAGCCTGTCTGCCCTCCCTGACCCTACAAGGGCTGAAAGCAAGTTTAGGAGCAGACTCTGCCTCGTTCTGTCCATTGTGAGGTGGGTTGTTCCTTCGGGCCTCACTCTGGGGCCTCACTTGTACTCAATGAACAGGCCTCTGACTTCTCTGTCTTGTCATCTCTGCTACCTCTAATAACAAGGGCTTCACTTTCTGGGAGGAAGCTAGATTCGCCTTACCTGGCTACACGTGTCCAGGCTCTCTCAAGCCAGAACGCAGCAGTAGGCATGTTGAGGTCCTACCATTCTTTATCATTGTTCTCACTTCATTTGTGGCAGGGCCTAAGCTTCCTTCTGCTGATCTGGGACTACCCACTGAGAAGGAATTGAGGGTTGCCTTTGGCTGACGTTTATGCTTGGTAGTGGTGGTGGTTATGTGCCATGGAGTTGGTTCCGACTCATAGCAACCCTGTACAGGGTTTCCCAGGCTGTAAATCTTTACGGGAGCAGAAGGCCTCACCTTTCTCTCGCGGAACAGCTGGTAGTTTCAAACTGCTGACCTTGGGGTTCACAGCCCAATTCGTAACCACTACACTACCAGAGTTCCTACGCTTAGGATCTCCCAAAGCTGGAAGCATGAAGGGATTCTGTGGAGGCTCCTCTGTTATTGGAAGGGTGGTCTCTACAGTTGGTAGGGGCCTTCTGTTGACAACTAACACAACTTGGAAATCCCCCTCTGCCCCTCTGCATCAGAGGCCCTCACCTGCCTGAGACCACGGAGGCATAAAAAAGCATGAGCCACGTTGAGTAACCACCAGTCATCACTTCTTTGGATAGGTAATGGGAGGGAACTATGTGCCCCACCTTTTTAAGACCACTGACCTTTTTAGTTCTCACTCAGTCAAGGTCTGGGTCTCCTCTCTCAGCCCATCTGAGTTCTCCGGCCTCAGTCCAAGGCTCTCACATCCAAAACTCCATCTCCACAGAACGTGAGCAGCCAGTTTAACCTGACAGCTCTGTCCTAGGCTTTCCAGAGTTGATAGGAGGGACCACACTATCTTCTGGCACCCTAATTTCTGGGCAGAGTATCCCATCCCCTCTGTCCTCACTCAAGGTTCTCTGACACCCCATCATTCCTTACTTCTCACCTTTGGCTATGTGGTACCAGACTTTTCACACCTCCAAGGCAGTATTCAGAAGGGACCACAGTTGGCCACAACTGTTTGGGTCTTTTGAGGCCGACAGCAGTGGCACGATTCTATGGATGTCCACTCTGCAAGAGTCACTGATCCCTTCAGTTGTCCCTCTGAACCCTCACCTCGGTCAACCCGAGCCTGGTACTCCTCCCTTTATTGAACAAGGTTGTCAGCACCGTGAGTCTCTAGAGGGTGCCACGTCTGGTTCCCTCTTGACTTTCCAGGCCTCATAGCAGGGACCAGGCTCAGTGGAGACCCTCTGTTGTGGTGGGGGGTTCTGCTCATTAGCACTCTGGGTCCTTACCTTGTAGCCTGTCAGGAACTCCTCCTTCTGCAGAATGTGGATCACCACCAATACACCAAGTTCTTCCCCACCCACCAGAGTTAATGAAGTCATCTCAGCCAGAAGGCTTTCCTTAAGGCATCCCAGGGCGTATAGTAAGAGGTGACATTGTCGTGTCTCTGCTGTCCTTGGGTCGATAGTTCCCTCATTTTTCACTCAGGGTACTCACCTTGACATCTGACAAGTTCTGGAACACTACTCTTGGCTGTCCAGAGAGAGGCCTTACCTTCAGAGCAATGTTTTCAACTTCCTGAGATCTCTGAGGTGGTCCCTGAGTCTTCAGAGAAGGAAGCCACGGGCCGTCACATCTGGATTCCCCTGCCTGGGGTCTTCCAGATCTGACAGCTTGGGCAGGGCTCTATAGGGATTCATGTTTTGGGGGGAATTCACCTCAGTCTTCAATTTGTGTACTCACGTTGATTCCAGGCCAGCCTGACACTCTCTACAGGCTCAAAGATAGCCATTGAAACCCATGTTTAGAATCTAGGAATCCCCAGAAGAATTAGTATGAGGACAACCCTGGGCAATCTAGGTCTCAGAGCAAGAGAGGATTTCTAAGAACCCTCGCCATTTTGGGTGCTGTTCTCAGTCTTTATTCATTGGGATCTTTATGCTAGCTCCTATCTCTTTAGTGAAAGACTTCCCATGAAATGCTCCAGTCCTGCATCTCTGCAGTTCCCCTATCCACACCTTGCAGACACTGTGTCTGTCCCAGAGTGATGTGAGATGGGATGATGTAGCACCAGGCAGGAGGCCCAGGGCTGGGGGCTGTCTGACAAAATACACACTCTGAACTGTTCCTTTTTTCCAAAACCCACAGTTAAATTAACTGTGAACCACAAGGCCGGTGGTTAGAGTCCACCAACTGCTCTGGGGTAGAAAGATGATGCTTTCTGCTCCTTCAAAGACTTATGACCTCAGAAAGCCTATACAGGGTCTCTGTGAGTCAAGAACGACTCAATGGCCCTTAACAGCAATAATGTCCTAAAAGATTTACTTTCTGACAATGGGGCCCTCTAGCATGATTATGTTACCCCCTGATCTTTTGAGGTTATCTGAGATTGCATATCTATATGGTAGTATTTCCATGAATATTATCTTTTCTTATATGTACCTGTAATTTATTTTGGTGTTCTTAATATTCTGGCAATATTTTTCCACTCCAGTAATTGGGCAGAGAGCCATTCTAAATCCACTGAGATACATTTTGTAGTAGTGAGAGGAAAATAGAGATACAAGGTTAGCAGGAAGGAGGACAGGTTCGACAAACATTAAGACCAGGGTTCTATTCCATTTCTGTCACTTACTGGTCTTGTGAACTTTAATACGCAATTTCTTTACTTGCAAAATTTGACTAACAAGTCCTACCTTATTGAACTCTGGGAATGACGGGATTGTAATAGAAAGCACTTGGAAAATTCATTGTTTAATGAACGGCAGCAATCATCGGATTATTATAAACTCAGAAAATACAAGTTTCATCACAATTGAAAAAAAAAAAAACAATTAAATCCATTAGATACCAGAGAATAAGGCATGCTCCAGGAAAAAAACAAAACCAAACAAATTCTTGAACATAAGGCAATAGAATCCAGGACTGTGTATATCCTTTACATTTACAAAGAATATAAGGAAGATTCGAAGGGATAAGGCAAACTAACAGCTGCCACCTTGGTGGCCCCTTCCACTTTGTGATCCTGAAAATCTCTATTCCAACAGCATGTTATCTAATTCTAGAACATAAAAGAAAACATTGAAGATTTTTTTCAAGTTGTTTTATAAACATCACAACTCAAACTCTTAAACTGATAATTGCAATGATCATATCATTCATAAATTTATATTCTGAAGAAAAATAAACCTTACATTAAAAATAGAACATTTGAAACATGCACACACACACATATATAAATGCATGTATGTATGTATATATGGAGAGACAGAGATAGATAAAAATACACATGAATCGTGTACAACAAGAATACAAAGATAAACATTTTGCTTCCTTCAGCCCCGTATCAGACCCCACCACTTAGAAGCATGACAGCCATTTCAGCCACCAAGTGAAGAATCAGCTCAGACTTCATTTCATGTGACAGAGGCTACTTGCCCTTGGAACGCACACCGGCTCTATCATTAACAGCTCTGGCTTGGGCTCTCTCTTCCTCATCTCTCAAAGCTTCTTCATACAAAACAGGGAAGGAGCTGGGATCTGTATTGTTGATCTTGGCCAAAACTTGAAGGACTTTCATCTTGGTGGTTTCAGCGTAAGCTCGTGGACCCCATAGGAATTCATTGCATGGAGGATCACTCTTGGGCACTTTCCGGTATACCAGGAACCTCTCCATCACCAAATCTTTGGTTATAAACTTCCTGGGCTCCCCAAAAATTGAGTGCATCTGTCCAGCATAGATCCCCAATGCATTTAGGAATTCCCAGATTTCATCTTCACTGGCTCGGTTACCATTCATGAAGATCACACCCAAGAGGACCATCACCAGACCTGACTTGGGCAAACCGCTGCCTCCAGTTAGACTTCTTCCTTTGGCAATATTCAACTTGCTGGCGAAGTAATAGTAGTTACTGTTGGGGTTAATTTCCTTCAATTCAAGGCCAAAGACCACCTCCATGCGGTCCATGGCTCTCTTCAGGATCTCAAAGGATTCCTCCTTATACTTTTTGTGTAAAACCTTCTGCAACTCTGCCATCATAATGGGCTGTTTATTTTTATACATCTCAGACATGAACTGCACCAATGCGCTGACCTTCAAGGATAGAGGATCTATGCTTGAGTTCATATAGAAAGATGCTGCCTTGCAAGTGTTTGTATATTTAATATATATGATGCGAGTACCCTCATTCGATTCTTCGCATGAAACAGCTGCAGCAGGTGTGGTAGTGGCTGGGGCTTCATTAGACTCATGAAAAATGCGATCCACAGGGGACCCCTGGGGAGTGTTCCCCAAAACAAGAGAGGAAGAGGGAGATTCTTCTACCTTGGTAGCAGAGGCCTCAGAACCCTGGAGGCCCTGGGTTTCAATACGGGCACGCTCGCGCTTCTCGCGGGCACGGAGCTTACTCTTCTGACCACGAGGCATGATGTCTCTCTTGAGAAACCTGTCGAGGAAGTTAGAGTGAGCCTTAGCTCAGAGCCTAATACATCTACCTGTGGCTTACAGCATCTCACCTCTGGTGTCCTAAGTGGGGCTTTTTCTGTTCCTCAGTAGGGGGATCTCTCAGCTCACATTCAGGACTACCACCATGTGGAATGTTGGCAGAGTCTAGGTTCAATTCCCTTTGCTACTCAGACGCTAGTACGTTAAACTTCCCTGGGCGCTAGGGGAGAAAGTGAGTGTTAACAAAAGCCCACCATTGCACGGAGGAGGAACCCAGTGCTGACAGGACCCACAGAGGGCCCAGGGTGGACAGACACATCAGTAGTCACTCAAGTCCCTCTGTTTAACTCCAAGAAGAGACTAAATTTCGTCCCTCTGCTGAGATGGGATGTGCCCACTCCCTCAAACCTAAGCCATCACTTCTCTGTGATTCCCAAGGAGGCGCTTGATGCCTGTGTGTAGCTGGCATCTATCCCTACGCCCCTGATGGCTGAGGGATTCAGCGGGACCCCATTTTACATGGTGGGAAAGTCTTGCAACCTCCGAGTCCTCACCATGACTCCTGATAGTCCCTACTACAGACCAAAGGCTGACCCCTTAAATCAACACCCAGAAGTCTGGGAGATTTCTGAGGACAAAGTGAGGGGCACCTCAGACTTGAGCCCTGACCAGAGGCATCAGGGCCGATCGCAGAGCAGGGACATTGGGTTCCCCCTCTGTACTAGGGTCATCTCCTTGACTCCACACTATTGTTGTTGTATGTCCGCGCTTCCGACTCAATGCATCCCTGCATAGGGTTCCATAGGCTGTAAATCTTAACGCGAGCAGAAAGCCTCATCTTTCTTCCGCGGAGCAGCTGGTGGATTCGAACTGCAGACCTTATGGCTTGCAGCCGAATGTGAAACCCACTATGCCACCAGCGCTTCATCGCCTGAGACCTCGAGGACAAAGGGAAGGAGATTTGTGTCTAACAGCCATGCTTGCCTCCCCACCACCTCCTCCCATGTCTGAATGCACGGATGGGGTGGGGTGTGGCTCGGTGGGGTCTCTTCTGTTCCAGGGAGTGGGGGGAGACGGGGAGTGTAGCCCAGCAACTGTAACTCAGGACACTGACCTTGGCACCTGATGGCTTCTGAAACTTCTCCTTCTGCAGGACAATGGCTGCTCCTCTCAGTAAATGGGGACT